ACCACGTCACCCTCATCTTCTCCTCAGCCTTTGGGTAAGTCCCAGAATCACAGAATATTGGAAGGGGCTTTTAATGACACCCAACATCCCAGCATTTCACCTCCATCTCATATTACACAAAATCCTTTTAAAAATGAACCGTTTTCCTTTTCATATACCTCTTGTCCCTATGTATTTTTTTTTACAGGGTTAAATCCACTTAGAATGGATTATACAGGGTCAAACCTACACCCACCAAAACTGTCTGTGACTAAAAAGATATTTTAATCCAAAAAACTATTATTTTTCAATCAGAAAGGAAACTCATGTTTTCAATTCTTTTGACAAAACCAATTTAAAATCGTCCAGAAACGTGAAGAAAAATAGAAAGTTTTCAGACAGCTTCAAAATATATCTTTTTATAGCAGAAACTCCAGAATTTTAACTGGCTCTTTCCCTCTGTAGAGGCACAGGGGACCTACCAGGAAGAATGATCTCAGGGAATCCCATTTTCCGAGCCACAGCAGTGGATCTGTCTACAAGGTGGGAGAAATCCTTTTGAACCTGAGCCAGATCCCCAGGGAGCAGCTTCAGGGAGACCCAAAGACCTGAGAAAAGGATGATAACACTTGTTTACTGCCAAAAAAAAAAAAAAAAGGTACAAACCCATGAATTTTAAGCCCATGTTTGTAAAAACCTTTTTCCTCCTGTGACCTTCCTGCATCAATTCCTTAAATATCCCGAGCTGGTTCTTTCTTGCCCAGTTCTGCATCTCCCTAAGGCTGAGGGAGACTTTACTGGGCAGGAAGATGCTCTGAAGTAAAACACAAACTTTCTGAGGTGAACCCTGAGTGTGTTTGAGCAAAGGCCACACACACAGGGAAGGGCAGAAGGACCCTGAATAATTCACTTTAAACCCGAAGCCATTCAGGACACGCAGCAACGTTCACCTGACAGGATTTTATGTCCACATAAACAGCTTTAGGTTGGAAATATTGCATTATTAGCATGGAAAGCATCAGCTGGAGAAGCTCCTCTCAGCCAGGTGAGAAGAGCTCCTGGGTTAGATCCACGTGTGCTGGGTGACAACCACCACAGGGAACACAGGCTTGGCTCAGGGAAGGGATCAAACTCCCCCAGTCCCTGATCTCTGGACTTCCACAAGGCTTTTATCTCCTCAGCAAGCAGGGGAACCCTTCCCCAGGCTGGGGCTGTACCTTGGCCTTTGTGATTCACCTCCTTGGCAGCGATGACTTTGTTGAAGACCGAGGTGAGGGGCTCGTTCTCCCCAATCACGTGGGATGTGATCAGGGGGGACATGATCAGCTGCCTCTGCCTGATGTAGGTCTCCATGGCAATCCTAAATCAGAGAGCACACACCAACATCAACCTGGGCAAGAAGAGGGCTGGCCAACAGCTGGTTGTTTTCCAAGGAAATGGTTTTTTTTTTAAAGGATTCCCTTTAAAAAGGGTTCCCTTTTACTTTTTCACCTGCACAGAGCCATGGGAAGTACAGTTAAACTCTCAAGCTAGGAAGGACATCAGGCTTAGGATGAGTAACACTGAGCTGAGGCCTGATTTCAGTTGTACCTGAGAGCTGGTCCCTAGAGGCCACGTAGATTAATTAGTGTTAATTTAATAGAATTAATGACTGCTGTGAGATCACAAGTGGTGAACCTCTACCTAGTCACAGACACATCTACTGAGCTTTGGATCTTGAACCTGACTTCACTCCTGTACCCACACCAGCAACAGTGACACACAAAATCATGTCTTCACAGCTTGAGGTGTGCAGCTGTGCATTCAAACTCAGCCTCATTAGAGCAGAAGGAAAATGGGGGAAAAACCCCAAACCAACCAAACAAAAACCCCAAAACAAACCAACCCCCCAACAAACAAAACAAAACACAAACAAAGGACCCAAACAAAAAAACCTCCAAGCAAACAAAGAAAAATAACAAAAACAAGCAAAGAAAAATAACAAAACCAAACAAACAAAAAACCCCCAAACCAAACAAAAGCCCCAAAACCTCCCAAACAAACAAACAAACAAAACCCAACCATAAAGCAGCAGAGTGACATTATTCTGCAAAGGAAAATCCATCCTTCCAGGCCCTGAAAGGGTAGGGGAACAAAGTCTCCCCTGAAAATACCTTGTAATAACATCTGGCTGCAGCACTTGCATTGCTATATTTAGGACTGTAACAACATGGCTGGGTCTACCCAAACAAGCTCCATTTCAGTGCCTGGAATGTGCCAAAAAAGTGAGTACCCAGAGCAGGCAGAGCACACAAGGCTGACCAGCACTGCAGGAACGCAGAACTCACTGGGCTTCCTGGGAAAAATCCCTTCCCTCCTGCCCTCTGACCCTTCCAGGGAAATCTGGAGAGGGAAGAGGCAGAGGTCCCACCCAGCAGGGATAGGATGTGTCCCTGTGCTCAGGTGTTTCTGAAACTCTTGCTTCTCACCCCTCAAAGAGTTTGGAAACCACCTCCCCCAGGTCTCCCAACGTTATTTAGCACCATGTTCTCCTTTTCTCTCTCCCAGGGAGAAATTCCAGCTGACTGCCAGAACTCCCCAAGCAATTCAGCCTGTCATGGACACACAGAGAACAGAACAAAGGCTCCAGGGGACTGACAGAAACCTTCCCCTTCCAAGAGCTGGCTCCTGATCTATCTGCAGAGCCCTTGGGGCAGTGCCAGCCTCCCAGACAGATCTGTCCTCCTGCAGAGGACAATGGCTTTAAATAAGCCAGAGCTGTGACCTCTGGAGCCAGTACTTACTGCTGGAAGGGGATAAAATGCTGCTTCTCCTCGTCATCCACCTTGCCATGGATGATGTCAGTTATGTCCATCACTGCAACGACACCAGAGCAGCACTTACTGCTAAATGACACCCAGGGAGCTCTGCCCTTCATGATGGAAACAGCATTTACTGCTCAAGGACACCCAGAGAGCTCTGCCCTTCATGATGGAAACAGCATTTACTGCTCAAGGACACCCAGAGAGCTCTGCCCTTCATGATGGAAACAGCATTTACTGCTAAAGGACACCCAGAGAGCTTTGCCCTTCATGATGGAAACAGCATTTACTGCTAAAGGACACCCAGAGAGCTCTGCCCTTCATGATGGAAACAACAACAGCTCCTTTGGGGCCAGTGGCACCCGTGACAAGGGCTCTGAGCAACCTGGCCTGGTGGAAAAGTGTCCCTGGGGGAAACTTGGGGGGGCTTTAAGGTCCCTTCCAGTCCCAACCACTCTGGGATTCTCACCAGACAGCACCACCCTCATCTGAACTTTTCAAAAAGCACCTTTTCACTGATGGGCAAGTCAGCCCGTGAGTGTGAATATGTGGTAAAAACCAGGTGGGGCTCAGGGCTTTCACAGTAGAGAAATCACATTTATAATCAAAGGCTGTTATTGCTCATTTATTTTGTCTTCCACCACAAATTTCAAGTCCTTTCCCAGGAGATCATAGGAATCAAAGAGGAATTGGGTGTCTCATTCTGTAAAACCTCCAGCTTTATCCCTTGAGCCCCGAGGAGAAAATCCCTCCTGGATAAAGCCCTGATAAAGCTGCTGCACTGGGAGGTGACAAAAGTGAGCAGTGACAGCATTTCATCCTCCTGGACAACCTTCATTCGAGGTCTCAGAGGGGACTATTTATGGCTGGGCAGCAGCAGAGATGCTGACCCTGGTGGGTGCCAGGCTTTGGGACACCCCCAGCCCACAATTCCCCGTTCCCAGCCCCCTGTCCCGGTGCCTGGGCCATGGCAGACTCTCCAGGGGCTGCCCCTGCCCTACCTGCCACCCCAAAGGGCCTCCTGAGCCCACAGGTGTGCTTCTTGCCATCCTTGAGCTCCATGTGCCCCACCCTGACGATCTGACACACCAGGCTGATCTTGGGTCTGATCAGGTCAGAGCTGCTCAAGTCCTGGAAGTGAGGTGAGAGAAAAGGATATCAAAACCTGCTTCATGGATAGGAGGGAAGGCAGAGAGAGCAGGACACTCTGGGAGACTGAAAACGTGAAAATTGTGACCTCCAGGACCTCAAGGGAGCCCCGAAGGTCCTTGTGGGACCTCAAGGGAGCCCTGAAGGTCCTTGTGGGACCTCAAGGGAGCCTGCAAGGAAGGTGTAGAGAGACATTTATGGTGCCAGGACACAGGGAATGGCTTCCCACTGCCAGAGGGCAGGGACAGATGGGATAGTGGGATAAAATTCCTCCCTGGGAAGGTGGAGACACCCTGGCACAGGTTGCCCAGAAAAGCTGTGGCTGCCCCATCCCTGGAAGTGCCCAAAGCCAGGTTGGAACAATCTGGGACAGTGGGAGGTGTCCCTGCCCATCACTGGGTGATCTTTTTGATCCCTTCCAACCCAAACCATTCCCTGATGCTCTGAACTCACAGTGAAGACTGCCTGGAGGTTATTTAGCTTCTCAATTTCTTTGGGCATCCCGTTACTGCCCCAACGAACCAGGTAATTCTCACTGCAAATGAAGGAAATAAAAAAAGAAATTTAAATAAATCAACACCCAGCATTCCCAGTTCCTGCCAGAAGCTGGAAAGAGTTTTGATCTTTTGGGAATATTTGAAGAATTCTGCCCAAATCTTTCATCCCAAGAGGACTCTGAGGTCGATTTTGATCTTTCAGGAATATTTGAAGAATTCTGCTACATCTTTTATCCCAAGATGACTCTGGGGTGACTCATTTCAGAGGAGGGTGAAGGCACATTGTGAGCACTCCCTGTGTAATTCCAACTGCATTTCCACACCTGATAACTTAGTGCTGGAGACAGAGTGTTCCTGACACAGACTTGCTTCCCTGATAAAGTTCTTTACATCCTCCCTACCAATACATAATTCCCAGTTATTTGATGTGACCCTGCACTGCCTGGACAGAAAACATCAGGTATGGACATGATTTATTGGGAAACAAATAATCAAATGCATCCAGTCTTGGGAAAGTTGAGAATACAAAAAGACAGTCTGGGGTTTTGGGTGATGTGTCCCAGAAATGCTCAGCTTTAAGGAGGGGAGTCAGAACCTTGACTTCCCATCTCAGCTGAAATTAATTCCCAATTAATCAGAATTAATTTTCCCCCCACACTGGGGCAGCAACCACAGAACTGGAAAAAACTTCTCTGCTGGATTTTCTTTTCCAACCTCTACTGGCTTCTTTAAAAGGACCACCAGGATGACTAAATGACCTCTTAAAAACAGCCCCTACCTGATGAATTTGGAGAGATCAGGGTCGTAGAGGCTCATTAACAGCTCGGCATCTTCCCCAATGTTGCAGACAAAGTTCTTGAAGTTCACATACAGGCTGTAGGTGTGGGTGGAGTTGAAGATTGGCTGCCCCCTGAGGTCCAAACTCTGCTGCAGGGACTGCAAGGGACGGGAACATTTCCATGAAAAACAAACCCAGAGGAATTCAGTTGTGTGCTGCCAAAGGAGCACGAATGTACAAACACCAGGGACTTGGAGAGCACAGAGCAGTGACAGGAGGTGCACCTTCTCCTCCTGGATCCTCTCATCAATCCTTTTGGAGGCAGTTTCGTGGGCCTTGAAGAGGGAGATGGTGCTGGTCTCATCCGGGTCCAAGATGTTCCCGTTGTCATCTCGCACCACCAGGTCCAAGCCCAGGATCCTGAGCAGCACAGGGCACAAGAGGGGGATTTTGATTCAGTTGGGGAGCAGCAAAGGGGGCTTCAAGAGCACAGATGAACCAGGGAACTCAATTCCAGGGTGGCATCTCCCTCATTCTTGCTTGCAGGGCTTTGTTTTAAAAGGTGGATGTGTACCTACCAAGCTGATTATTATTCTTTGCCACAAGCTTTCTTCTTAATTGACTTATTTGACTTGAATCAGGTCTGACAGGCAGATAAATGAGCTCTGGAGTTGTTCCCTGTTCTGTGCAAACCAGTGAGAGCTGGAGTTCTGGTGGCCAACAGAATCCTGTTCCTCAGTTGCTGATAAAGCAATTTATTTATTTCACCACCAGCAGCCAAATCCTGCCTCCAGCCAACCAGGAACAAATTGTTCTCCCTGGGAAATGCCACCAAGGCCAGATTTATGAAGAATTAAGACAGGTGAGGCTTCCTGCCAAGTCCAAGAGATCTCTGGCATGTGAAGAACCCACTGCTGCAAACCCACCTGCCAGGCAGTCCCACCCTGATGGGCTCTCCAAGCTGCCACCATCGCCCTTCCAAGGGAAAAATCCCAGCCTAATTCAGTGTGTGGTCACTCCCACTGTGCATTTCCTGGGATTTGGGATCCCCCCCTGCCCCCCAGGCAGAGTTTGGGTTTACCTGTTGCCATAGTCAATCTTGGCAGTGACTTTCTTCTTGAGCTCAGCCAGTTCATCCTTGGGAAGGGTCCCCGAGAGGATCTGGGACCTCCACTCTATCAGGCTGTAGGTCAGCTGCTGCACGTGCCTGAACTGGGTTGTCTTGTTGTTCTGCAGGAAAAAAAGGGACAATTTTAAACAAGAAAAGCCTGAAACCACTGAGCTCAGTGAGCTCAGAACTGCCCTCAGCTACAGAACCCCACAAGTTGTATTTAACTACAAATACCTGAGAAACAGGCCCTGTGTGATAGTGCAAGATGAGACCCCAGGAATGAGTTCTCCAGTGCTTTGCATGGCCAAGGTTTAAGTGTCTTTAAGATCTTTAAGTGCCTTCAAGGGCTCCACCTTTCCCCAGGACATTTTTTTTTCCAGAAAAACCCCACAGACTAAAAATAGGCTTCTGGTGTTTTCCAGCACTTCAAAAGTGCTCTGCTGGGGAATTTTATGTACAGGGCAGAGAGAGGATGTTGAGTGACCACAAGGGTGTTCTAGCAGACTGAGACAGGAATGGCAACTTAATAGAGAATCATGGAGTGTCCTGAGCTGGAAGGGACCCACAAAGATCATCCATCCAACCCAACAACCCCACCCTGTGCTGAGAGAGTTGTCCAAAAGCTCTTTGAGCTCTGTCAGGTTTGGAGGGCTGTGACCAAACCCTGGGGGAAACACAGAAAGAACAAATATTCAGCTCCCAACCACCCCCTGGGGGAAGAACCTTTCCCTTCCATCCAGCTGAACCCCCTCCTGCCCCAGCTCCTGCCATTCCCTTGGGGCCTGTCCCTGCTCCCAGAGAGCTCTTGGCCCAGCCCATGTTTTCATACCCATGTTTTCACACCCCACCCCAGCTGTAGCTGCTCAGAACCACGTCAGGGATTGCCCTAAAAATGCTCTAAACCAATCAGCTGAGTGGATCCTCCTGTTTGCATTTCCATCTCTGCTGTGATTACCCAGCACTCACTGAATAGGACATCAAAAACTCCTGCTGAAGAGTTTCCTCCTGCCATCCCTGCTGTTATCATCCTTAATTAACAAAAATACTTTTCCTGCTGGTTCCACCCTGACAAAATCACTCCCATCTATGCACCTTGTTCCTCTAATTCCAAGCTCCAAGGTTGTAATTAAAACATGGATGGGTGTGTGCAAACCTACCCTGTTTGGAGCAAGGTGTGCTTGGAGAAGTAAATAAGCTTTTAAAAGTGTCAGACAAAATATTAAACCATTTAAAACATTTAAACCATTAAAGAGGAAGTCCAAGTCTCCTCCTCTCTTCGCCACCTGGGAGGACTCTGAGTGCCAAGAGCAGCTCATTTTCCCAGGGAAGGGCCACAAACTGGAAGTTTCTGGGACAATGATTATGGTTATTCAGCTCCAAAATGACCTTTCAAGAGGTTTTTGGCTCCCTCCCACCCACAGCCAGTGGGAACTGGCCAGTGGTTCCTTGCTGGTCCTGACTGGGGTGTGACTTAATTAAATTAACAGCAGCAGGGCTGTTAATTTTTAACTGCAAACCCCAACTGCTCCCCCACAGCAGAAAGGGAAACTCAGTTCAGTGATTTCCCCATTCTCATCTCTGTCAAATAACGTGAATGATTAATTAAATTACATGAAGGATATAAATCACTCATATTTCCCCCCAAATCTAAACAACCATCTTCTTTTCGATTTGGGTGACAGAGACTACAAGAGGTTTGAGTTGTTACAGGGAGGATATCAGAGATATATTTAACAAACAAAGAGATATATTTAATAAACAAAGAAAAAAACGGTGTCCTTGCATAAAAATACTTGCAAGGAAAAGGCAATTTGTGTGGGTTTTCAGGGCAATACAGAGCAGACCTCAATGTGCCATCAGCTAAAGCTGAGTTATCTCCACACCTAATTCCTATTAACTAAAGCAAGTTAACCTCCCCCCCATTTTTATATTTATTTTGCAGTGGAGATAAACCCACTGCTGTAATGAAACCCACAGGAATTAAAGCAGTGAAATTAAATGCTGCCAAAGGAAAAAAAAAATCCCCTCATGTTTCCTTTTTCTCCTCAAATATCTCCTTCCTCCTTTAGCCTTTTTTTTTTTTTATTCTTTTAATACACACTGCAAGGGAAAATAAAACAAACTCAAATCCATTTCAAACCACAACATTTTCCAAGCCTATTTTAGGACTTATATTGGTGAAGCACAAGAACATGAAAAGATTTCTGCTCTTCAAAAAAAAATAGATTCTGAGGCTACAATCCTCAAGTCATTCAGGAATTAAACAACAACAACAACAAAAAAAAAGCCAGGAACAAAACTCTCTTTTCAGGCAGTAATTCCATCCCATACAGCTTCTCATTAAATTAAGAGGGTGGAACAAATTCTTGTGGTTTCGTGGCACACAAACAGAATGAACTTTGTGGCCTGGTGAGATCTCCAACAGGAAAATTTGCTCAGTGATTAGATTTAAACCCCCTCATCTCAATTAAAGCACATTCTGGGCAGGCTGAACTCGCTGCTAATGGAAGAAAAGTCAACTCTGAGTTTTTAATGTGCCTTAATAATCCCCTTCGAAAGAAGGCAACTCGCTGGGAGCTCTTGGAGCAAGATAAACCCACCTGAGGGAGCCCAAAAAATCCCTGTCCTGCCTTGTGATGGTGCTGAGGTGACTCCCATGGTCAGGGGGCTCAACAGATCCAGCAGATGAGGGGTCTTTCCTCACCCTACTGGGAACTAAATCCTTGGGAGAGCTCCCAGGGGCCAGCCCAGGCACTGATCACAGCCCCAGCACCCTGCAGTGGCTGGAGCTGGGCCAGGGGGTTAAGGAATGAAAAAGGGAACAGAAAAAGTCTCCTGGAAAGTTGCTCTTCAATACTGGAAATTTAGGAATTTCTACAGATGCCGGGGGAGCTTTTCTAGAGAGACACAAGGCCAGGGCAACCTGGTGGATGAGTCCAGGAATGTTCTGTAGCAAGGACAAATGAGGATAATTGACAATTGGCAGGAATTTTCTGCATGTCATGCAGGAAGATGACACCAAACCTCAGCTCTGTGAGCCCACAGCAGTGCAGCAGAGCACTTCTAGCCTCTCTCAACACCACTTTTGCCACAATGGAAGTGTTAAAATGCTGCTTGACATCCCTGCCAACAGCCCAGGCTCATCTCACCTGAGGTTTTGTGATAAAAGTGAAGAAAACTCACCACATACAACTTGTGCCAGATAACTGCCCACTCCCTCAGGGTGGAGGTGAGCTCCTGGCCCAGGGGTAACTCACTTGGAATCACCGTTTCGTGTTGCCTGGAGGGGGAAAAAAAGGAGAAAATGGAAGGTTTTACACTCAGGGTTAAAACTTCATGGTCAAACATCCTTTTTTTTTTTGATAAATATGTAAAAGGAAGTTTCAGAGGGGATAATTTCCACACAGTTCACTCAGACAGGATGGCAAGACTCTAAAGATGTTCTCCAGCACACACAGGCACATTCATTATCCATTTTTAATCCAAGCCTCTTTCAGTCTTGTTATTCCCAATGCATCCATCCCAGAAACAGAATAAATAGGCAGAAATTCAGTTTGGAAGAACCACCCCATGCAGTGGTAACAGTCATTTAACAAATAAAAATAAAAGAGCACTTTACAAAGCTTCCTCCTTTGCAACTGCTGTTTTCCTCTGGCTCTGACAACCAGAGACTCAGCTACCAGGAGTCATTTCCTTAAATGTTTTCCAAGACAGGAAGGACTCCACACTCCTGCTGGGTCCTTGCCTGGGAGCAGGAGGCTCTCCTGACTTGCAGGAGTTCTCAGAGGAGCTCCACTGACCTGCCCCACTCCTAACTGGTCTAGCAGAGCTTCCTAAATCCTGCCAAGAGCCTCCTCCTGCACCCACCCCACAGCTGCTCTGAAAAATGAAATTATGCAGCCCTGGAAGCCTGGCACAGGAGGCACACCCTGCTCAGAGGCAGAGCAGGAGTGTTTGGCACCCCCACAGCTCCTGGAATGGGGGGTTTTGGGGTTTACATTCCCCTGGTTTGGCTGCCGACCTACCCCCGGTCCTTCACGATGGCCTCTTTTAAATGGATGTACGTTTCGGGGAAAATGCCCTAAAAATAAACAGAGAAATCAGAGGAATCAAGCACAGCCTGGGTTAGGAGGGGGACAAAAATACATTTAGCAGAAAGGAGGGAAAAAGGGAAAGAAATGTCCCAGTATCACAGGAAAAAAAGCCATTAAAGAGTCCACATTTGAGCACTATATTTGATATTTGGCACCTCAGAGAAGGCAATTCCTTGTTTCCCTCTAATGACACTCATCTTCCTGCATGACATGCAGAAAATTCCTGCCAATTGTCAATTCTACTCATTTGTCCTTGCTACAAAACATTCCTGGACTCATCTGCCAGGTTGCCCTGGACTTGTGTCTCTCTAGAAAAGCTCCCCCAGCATCTGTAGAAATTCCTAAATTTCTATTATTTAAGAGCAACTTTCCAGGAAACTTTTTCTGTTCCCTTCTCATTCTTTTTTATGACCAAAAAAAATGGCAGCTGAGGGATGCTACCACAAGAGAGGAGCCAGGAATCCTCTGGGAAACCAGATTTCCCTGCAGCTTCAGGGCCAGATCCACAAACCTCAAGCAGCCTGGCTGAGATCCAGGCTGTGTGCAATTCCTGGAATATTTTCCAAGCCAAATAAAAAAATCTGATATCACCATTAAATATAACTAATGCTGGATGTGTCCAGGTCCAAGAGCATAATAATAATAAAGCAATAAACTCGTGGATGCAGATGTGGAGCAGTTAATTTGGGGAGTTCAGGCTGCATTCCTTGTGATTCCAGAGGGGGAATATCCAGCTAATGGCTCTGAAACTTTGAGCTCAGGGGCATTTTTTCTGTCACTAAAGAAAAGGACACAATGGCCAGGAGAGCTGCATAATATTCAGACAAGAAATCCAGCAGATTACAGCACTGGATGGGGCCTGGCAAGGTGTGAGATGAAAAGGAGAGCCATAAAAAGGGAGGTCATACCTTCTTCGATTTATTTCGGAGGGTGTATCCTCGGTACCAGCCTGGCAAAGGAAACAAAAATATTTATATTTATATCTATATTTATATTTATTTACATTTACATTTATATTTATATTTACATTTATATTTCATTTATATTTATAATTTATATTTATGGTTTTCTTGTCTACAGCAACGAAACACCAAGTGTAATTCCCACCACCTTTCCACAGCACCAAAATCTATTGATTTTGCCAGTTTGAGCTCTTACTGCTCTGGAGACACCTCTGCTTTTTAGGGAGGAGCCTGAACTGCTTGTCCTGGCACAGATCCTGCTTATTAATATTATCTGATCAAGATCTAGAGAGTACAAGATAAAAATAACAGCTGTGATCCCCAGGACTCAGAAGGACGTGTCACTGAGGGGGACATTTCTTCTCTCTTCAGCACCTGGGCTCTGACCTGTATTTTCATAAACCCATGGAATGGTTTGGGTTGGAAGGGACCTTAAAAATCATCCAGGGACAACTTCTACTAACCCAGGCTGCTCCAAGCTGGCCTTGGACACTTCCAGGGGGTTATTTTGATGTTAAAGTCACCAAAATGCAAACCTACTAAAAAAAAAAGCTGAATTTCTTGCATCTTCAAGGGATCTTTGCTCAGGGAGCAGAGAGGGGAGAGGCAGAGCTGGGGGAAAGTCCTTGTCCCTTCTCCTCCAGCACCTCCAAACCATGTGAGATGGGGGGTCTTCCTCTCCCTCCTCCCCTGCACCCCTTGGCTGGGCTGTGCCAGCAGGGCATGACCAAGCACCCTCTGCACTGGGTTCCTCTCTTTGCCACAGCCAAGTTTCCATCCCCTGAGTCCTCCTGAAGTTCCTGCCCTGAAAACAACCAACTGAACCCATGAGGAGAAGAATCTGCCCCGTTTTAAAGGGCCACATCCCTTGGGTTGAGTCTCACCCTGACCCTCAGCCAGGAAAACACCAAAGACATTCCAACCTCAAGACTCGCCAGGATCCCAACTCTCCACTACCCCAATTCCCAAGTTTTTACTCTTTTCCTAAGGTTCCACCTGCCCAAAAACTAAACCCACAGGCCCTGTCCCTCAGCAAGCACACAGGGACTATATATATGTGTATATATAAATATATATGTGTATATATATATATATATATATATGGATTATAGTCCCTAACTCATGGATGGTGCTCAGTCAGCCAGACAACCCCCCTGCTCCCACAGGATTATGTCCAGCTGAGTGGCAGCACCAAGAAGGCAAAGGAGTTTAAGGGAATAATCAGGCAAAGGAGAGAAGAAGAGAGGAGGGGAGGCTGGTTTATTTGGGTTTTTGTTTGTTGGTGGGGTTTGTTGTTGTTCCCCCCCCCAACATTGATATATTCAGAAAGGAACCTCCCACGAAGAACCACAAATCTGAGATCCCTTGACCATAAATTAAGAGTTTAGAGTGGTTATATTTGTGTTTTGATGGGGGTTTTTTGTGTGTTTCTTGTTGTATTTGGTCTTTTTTTCTTTTCAAGTGCAGTTTTGACCCCTTTCTGCAGCAATGAGGAGGCACCTCAACCACAGAAACCCCAATATTCCAGGAATAAGTCAGGAGCAAAGAAGAAATTCCATTCCTTGCACAGGATGAAAATAAGATTATCCATTGACCATGGACCCATGGATGAGGTACTGGATTAGGGATGAGAAGATTTAGGTTCTATTTTTACCTAAGTTGTCATTAATTGAACAGTAAAGTCCAAGTTGCTCAGGGTGTGAGACAAAGCCCCCGGAATTTGCCAGGAGTGTTTTCCCAGCGATCTCAATTCCATCTGCCACTCTCAGCCCCTCCACAGCACAACTTCCTCATATTTCAAATGGCCTCTTGGCACTGAGCACATTCCTGTCAAATGTTTTGCAATCATTGCATCAAACCCTGTTGTGTCTGATGATGCAAAAGCTATTTCTGCAAGCACCTCGTGCCATTTTTTATCGGAATTCTGCTCCTGTTTTCAGTAATTTTGCCCATCCCTGGAACAGGAACACCATCTTTTGCCAGTGGTCGACTGATGACGTGATTTCTTCTTATTAAAAACCCCCCAAAATATGCCTAAACTTCAGAGGAATGAGAGATTATTGAAGTGTTTGGGTATTTTCACCAAGCAGGAGAAAAGTTCTTCAGTTGATGATGACCCAGCACATTTAAGCTCCTACAACGAACTGAAATCTGGTTGAGACCACAAAAAGAACACTGAGCTGGCAAAAAAAATATCCAAAAGTTTGGGTGTTTCTTGGGATCAGGTCCTCAGTTTTACCTTTCATTAAATGGATTTTCTGCAGCACGGAAAAGATGGGAAAATCTACAAGAAAATATTCCAATGGCAGTGGTTTGATGCTGGCAAGTTCTCCAGGGTGGGGCAAGCCCAGGTCAGGGGTTGAACCACAAGGTCTTTGTTCCTCCTGCAGGGCCCTGTCCTGTCTCCCCCCACACACAGGGATTGCTTCACCCCCTCCAGGGCTCAGAGAAAAGGCTGAAACCAGGCAGAAAGTCAGTGTAAACTGATTTTCAGCAGGAGAAGAAAGCCATGAGAACCAGGTATGTGAGCAGACATTCCTTCTCCCCACAACTGGGCCATTTCCCACAGCTTCCCTGAAATTATAATAATAAAAATAATAAATAATAAGAGTTTCCTCTAAACAGCAACATCTCCTCCCAGCTCATCCTCAAGGACAGATTCCCAGAGAGTAAATCCTGCACTGAACCAGCCTCCAAAGCACTGGATGCAGCAAGTTTTCCTTCTTTCCTTGGAGATTTTGCAGCGTGTGCAGAGTCTCAAATATTTTTGGCAGAAGCCCACGCTGCGTTATCTCGTTATCAAGTGGAACAAGGAATTCTGCACAAATACCTTGTGCCCTTCAAGCACCTCACAGGCAGCCAGGGAAGGGAGGGGAAAAATAAAAAAAATAACCCTGACTTTGCAGGTTCCAGTGCTAAGAGATCTCAGCTAGCAAGGCCAAGCTGGGTTTATTTTAACCTAAGAAAAGTGGTGACCTCCAGGAGGGTTTGGACAACACTGTGAGACAGGGTGGGATTTTGGGGTGTCTGTGCAGGGCCAGCAGTTTTACTCTGACCCTTGGGGGTCCCTTCCAGCTCAGGAATTCCACGCTTCCAAGGCCTTCCAGCCTTTGTGACAGCCCTCTACCTGCAGGCAGCACCTGGGAGCACAGCTGAGCAGGGATTTTACAATTCCAAGGTGTTTGCCCTCCTTGTGAAGCCATCAGGCAGCACAAGAGCAGCCCCTGACTGTAGGTGCTTCCCTAAGGGTTGGTGAGACACCTCAGCCCCTGGCCAAGCCAAAGGTTGGCCCAAACTGCACCTTCTGCTGACACTTTAATTCGCTTTATCGCCCTCTCCTCTCCCCCAGGGGCTCAGCTCTATCAGTGTTGTGTCTCCAGGGCCAGATAACGTTTCTTGTTCACACCAAAAGCCCAACCCTGCTGCCTCCCTGCCAGGGGACACACTGTGCACTTGGAGCCCTCCAGACAGGGCAGGGCCAGCCCAAATCCCACACAAAGAGCTCTCCTGGGAAGGCTCTTTGACACCTGGCTGAGGAAACCAGGAGGAGAAAGGAGGAACGTTCCAGGTGACCAACAACAGCCCTGAGAACCTCCTGGTGACTCACACCAGATGCTGAGGTGGGGAGTAAGAGCTAAAGCAGGATTTTTCCAAGTGAAAACTTGACAACAATTCCCTAAGGAACGTCAGAGATAGCCCATGGAACAGCCTTGGCCAGGAGCTGCAGGGATAACTCACACCCTGCTCAAAAAAGGGCCTCCTGGGGCATCTCTGAGCTTTTTCTTCCTGCAGAGCCTCCGCCCTGGTGGCATGGAAAGTTTTCCCTGGGTTGAGACTTGTGTACCCAGATAAGAACAGAGATTAGAGGAACAAAACCCTGGAGCTCTGTTGGCAGGAGGGAGAACATCCCTCCTCCCAAAACCCAACCCACAGGGAGCTGGGAGAACATCCCTCCTTCCAAAACCCACTGGGAGCTGGGAGAACATCCTTCCTTCCAAAACACACAAGGAGCTGGGAGAACATCCCTCCTTCCAAAACACAACCAACAAGGAGCTGGGAGAACATCCCTCTTCCAAAACACAACCCATGGGGAGCTGGGAGAACACCCCTCCTTCCAAAACCCACAAGGAGTTGGGAGAACACCCCTCCTCCAAAACCCAAAGCTGGGAGAACATCCCTCCTTCCAAAACACAATCCACAGGGAGCTGGGAGAACACCCCTCCTTCCAAAATATAACCCACAAGGAGCTGGAAAAAGCTGGAAAAAGCAGAGAGCTGATGTCCCAAAAATTGGAGATGACAAGAGGCGAGAATTTCCTGCCAAGCAGCCGGAATATAGAACCGAGGGGGGTTGAGATGGATTTATGGGGAACCAGAGCAGACCCACAGCAGAGTTCCCATCTCTGACACAATCCACACCTTCCCCTTTCCGCTCACAAACGTCTGGGCCTGAGTTTTTTGGCTGCACTTTGTGGGAAAAGGGTCGAGTTGGACGGCGGGAATTCCGAGGTGCCTCAGCCACGGGCTTTGATTGCACACGGAGGGCTCAGCAGCTGAAAACAATCCCTTTTTTCCCTTTCCCAGATGAAAACAATCCCTTTTCCCCTTTCCCAGATGAAAACAATCCCTTTTCCCCTTTCCCAGATGAAAACATTCACTCTCCTCAACAATTTCCAGGCGATTTTCTCTCTCCCACCAGAGAAAATTCCAGCCTGGGACATTCCAGGCAAAAAAAAAAAGGGATGTTATTTGGGTGTTCATTCCCTGTTCTTGACTACCTGTTTAAAGAGCTGATTACAAGTTAAACAATGAGGTTGCTTAAAAATCGTGAGAAAGAAAGAAAGAAACACCCCAGCATTTTGGGAAATATAAAATGCATCCTCTGCATGAATTTTGCTTCTTGACACTCCCTCTTTCTTGGGTCTTTTTGCAGAATCAAGTCACAAATTAGTAGGATTATCTACAGATATTCTGCCTGTTATCTACAGATATTTTCCCTCTTATCTACAGATATTTTCCCTGTTATACACAGATATTTCTCCTTTTATGCACAGACATTTTGCCTGTTATATACAGATATTTTGCCTCTTATGTAGAGATATTTTGCCTGTTATATACAGCTATTTTTATTATTATTATTATTATTTTTCAGCTGGATCACTTCATCAGACCAATGGAAGTGCCAGGCCTGGCACGGCCCAAAGAGGAGCCAAAGCAAAGAGGCGTGGTGTGAAAACAGGAATGAGGAGCCAGAATTAAGTGTTTCTTTATCCTGTAGCTCTGCCTTGAGACACAGAGAAATCTCACCTTGTTAAACTCTGCCAGGAACCCAAAAGCTACGTTAAATTTTCTCTATTTTCTGCATTTTTAAAACCATTTTAAAACTCAGTACCGAGTAACAAAGCACTTCAGGCACGGCAGGAGTGGAAAACACAGATGTAAAATTGCTGTTATTTCAGAAAAATAACCTCCATTTGTTACATTTTCCTTCCCAAAAAAGCAGCAGCAAGAAGTGGGACCCACCTTCGTACATCTCCAGGATGTGAACGGTGTCCCCGACCTGCAGCGACAGCTCCACGTCCTGAGCGGCCTCGTAGTTGTAGATGGCTAAAAAAAAAGGGAAAAATACAATTATGAGGGGCCAGGGGTTCAATTATTGGCTGGTGGCACCTGCCCAAGGCAGGGCAGCATTTTGGAAAAGCGCTATAAAGTCATTAAGGGGTGAGGAATCCTCTGGAAAAGGGGGAGGGGGTATCTATTCCCAGATTTTGCCCTGCAAGGGGAAGAAATCTTATTCTTCACAGCCAGGATAATAATACAGTTGTTTTATTGCCCAGAATACAGATCTAGGAGTCCTTAGGACAACCTGCCCACGACCTCAGGCATCAGGGATCAATCAGGAATTATCATTTTTTTATAGCATTTCATAGCACTCACTAGTGGAGTGTTGGAAAACACCACAAATTTGATGTTCTGATAAAACCCACCCCTATTCTATGCTAAAAAATACTCTGATTATTTGCTACTCAAGGATCTCCCCAGACAAGACCCAATTTTAGCACGAAAACTTGAGATTCTCCACAAATTTAATCCCTCCCAAAGACAAAGCTAATCTGGATCTTATCAGATTTCCATAGGGAATAGGATTAAGCCCAAAAGCAGAGCCTTCCCTGGAGACAAGAGGAGAAAGTTTAATTTGAATTTGCTTTCAAACCAGCCCAAATAAAGAGACATAAAAGCAGGGAAAGGCTTTTCTCTGGGTCCATGAGCTGATCAGCAAAGTCAGGACAGACACTCCTCTACCAAACTGGGGCATCTTAATTTATTTAAACATGGATTTAAGCACAGATCACACACAAGGCAACCTTCCCACACGCAGAAATCTTATATTTACATATCCCTGAGCTAATTTATTAGTGAATAAACACCGTGTTTGTTTTAAAGAAAGCAAATAAATCCCACAAACGTTTTCAGGAGGCTTTGGGAAAATCCTTCAGACCGCCCAAGGTTTGGATTTGAAGGGCTCTGCCTGGAAAACCAAATAAATAAATAAAAGAGTGGAGCTTTTCTGTCACAGACCCACATCCAGTGCCCATCTTTCCCGTCAGGATGAGGAATTATTGCCTCCTGGAAAGGCTCCAAACGACTGTGGGTGACCACACAGGAAATTATCTCACAGATAGGAGCTGCCTCTCAAATATTGGAACTAAAAATAGTCCCCCAGGAGCAGGAGATGTGAATCCCTGCTGGATCTGAGCACAGGCAGACACTTCTTTTCCTGTGCTGCAGGGCAGGGAGTGTTCCCAGAGGCACTGATTTATGCCTGCAGACACACATGGACTTTGCATTGAATCCACCACATGGTTTTCCAGAGAATTTTGGGAATATTCCAGGTTGCAGGAATATTCCTGGGCTTTTGCTCCTAAGGCACGAGCTGCTTCGACATCCAGTTTCCTCTCCCTCCCCCCAAGGGTGCTGTAAATCAATATATTAAAAACTGACTGGTGATCTGGATGTTCATCAACACCTCAAAGGCCCCAGAATAGGCCCAAAATTAAAAAACACTCCATCAACATTTTAACAGAAAAATCTGGATAATGTTCATGGCCGAAGATGAACTGATGGGGAATGCTGGACTTGATTCAGTTCAGAAGAATTTGTTCCAACAGACCCAGGCAATAATCCTGCAGGGGGTTGCAGCAGCAAAACCCAACCCAAAGGGCAGCAAACTCCCTGTGGCCGTGCCTCCTGTTGGGATAAACCTGCCAAATCCCAGAGATCAAGCAGGGATGTTGCAATCCATGACTGGGATGGGATATCTCCAAACCTCCCCGAGCTGCAGCAGGATCAGAGTGGAAGGATGACACAACCCCAGCTCCCTCTGGAGTCCCCCAGGACGTGCCCTGGGACACTGCAGTGTCACTGGCACTGCTCAGGTGAGGACCAGGCACCAGGCAGAGGATGGACATTAATAACCTGTTAATGAACGTGTCAGCAGACTCAGGAGGTTGAAGGCAGAGTGTCTGGGCCAACTCCTGACTTGGCTGATGACACTTTGTCTGCTGAAGTTTCCTCCCGTGGTTACAGCTGTCCCAAAGTGCTCTTTGGGATTTCTGGCCATGGCTGTGCTTCCCCACCCTCACAGCCAAGAACTCCTTCCCACTATCCCCCCTAACCCTGTCCCCTGGCAGTGGGAAGCCATTCCCTGTGTCCTGTCCCTCCATCCCTTGTCCCCAGTCCCTCTCCAGCTCTCCTGGAGCCCCTTCAGGCCCTNNTAACCTGTTAATGAACGTGTCAGCAGACTCAGGAGGTTGAAGGCAGAGCGTCTGGGCCAACTCCTGAATTGGCTGATGACACTTTGTCTGCTGAAGTTTCCTCCCGTGGTTACAGCTGTCCCAAAGTGCTCTTTGGGATTCCTGGCCATGGTTGTGCCTCCCCACCCTCACAGCCAAGAATTCCTTCCCACTATCCCCCCTAACCCTGCCCTCTGGCAGTGGGAAGCCATTCCCTGTGTCCTGCCCCTCCATCCCTTGTCCCCAGTCCCTCTCCAGCTCTCCTGGAGCCCCTTCAGGCCCTGGAAGGGGCTCTCAGCTCTCCCTGGATCCTTCCCTTCTCCAGGTGAACCCCCCCAGCTCTCCCAGAGGGTCTCCAGAGCAGAGGGGCTCCAGCTCTTGGCCCCCTCTGGATTCATCCCAACAGCTCCTCATCCTTGTGCTGCACGTCTCACACACACACACACACACAGGGATTCCTACATGCAATTTGCAGATGCCTCGGGTTTTTTCTGGGACAAACAGACATTATCCAAATACCAGGCTGCATTTTTCCCTAAATTGCTGCTTTAGCTCCAGACAAAAGCAGCCTGAGCAGCCCCAGAGTCCAGGGAAAGGTGGGTGGGTGTCAGAGCAGCCTTTCTTGTGAGAACACAGAGAGGGAATTCAAACCAAAGAGCAAAGAACTCCCCAGTTCCCTTCCCCTCCCCAAAGATCACAACAGCCACAAGCCAGAGAACTGAACACTGCAGTTCCCTTCCCTCTCCCTGCTGCACCAGACAGGTTTCACATCCCAAAATTTAAGCACTGACATCCCAGCACTGAAGTAAAGGAACTCACTTCTGCCCCTGCACAACAACAACAAAAGGCAATTTTGGAGTATCTTGCCTTGCCAGACTGAGTGAAGGCAGAGCAGAGGGGCACTGCACATAAAACCTCCTCCCCAGTGGTTCTGCACAAGGTTAGAAAAGACAAATTGCTGGCATATTTTCCCTGTTTGCAAGTGATGCTTCCTGCTGCTGGGAGTCCCAAACAGCCCATCTGCAGGGATTTGTGCTGCTCAGCCTCTTTTTTAGTGTGTGTATTTAATCTGACCTCTCTCAGACTTGAAAGCAAAAGGAAACTGTGCATGACAAACACGGCCATGGCAGGAAAAAAAATCAAACCCCTTCATTTAAATCCCGACAGAGCAGCAAGAAGGGAAAATAAGGCAGGGACTTTTGTCCTCCAATTTGCAGGAATATCTGAAGTTAAGTCTTTTTGCTCCAAGCTAAACTTCAGCTGAGATTCTGTCCTTTGAAATTCACTTTGGAGTGATGATCCTGCTCCTTTTATCCTCCTGGATGAAAAGCAGCACTGAAGTCTAACAAATTTAATCTAAATAAAGAGGACGAGGTGGAGAACACGACCCAGAAGATGGGTTTGTTTCGTGATGAGCACAACCAGAGGCAACATCTCATGTTATTTGGTTCACAGGCCTCCAAGCTGGATTAGTGGGAAGTGTAAGACATGGAATCCATGAGGAGGGAAGGTCAGAGGAAGGAGCATTGGGGAAAGGCAGCACATAACTTTATGACTGATGACAGCAGCCAGAGTCACGAGGGGAAGATAAGAAGCAACTCTCCTGCTTCAGGGCAGAAGGTGAGTCCTCAGAATGGATGGCAAAGGAACTCCAGAGGCACTGCCCAAGTGGGGGTGGGTGCTGGGTTCCCCCAGAGCCAGCCCCACAAACACGGAGGGCAGAGGGAACCTAGCACAGCCTGGGCTCTCCAGGGCCCTGAGGGATCCCTGTGGAGAGCTGGGAGGTTCTCAGGAGGCCCAGTTTGGCAGCAACACGATGGGAAGAGCAGGTTAAGCTGTGTCACTCCCCCCCAGTGGTAGGAAGACACCAGATTAATCCCAGCACAGACATTCCTTATCCATGAGACACCACCCAGAGGCACGGACACAGCACGAAGCCTCCGTGTTGTGCATGGGGCAGAAAAGGAGAAGCACAATTATATTACAAATAAAACCCCCCAAACACACTCCAAAAACCCACAAAAGCTTCACTTTTGGACAAAGAGCCTGGAGAGAAGCTTAAATTTGCAAGAGGTCTGTCAGCAGCTCACGGAGCCTGAGCTGGATCTCAGTGGAACCAGGGGGAGATCCAGCAGTTCCAGGGGGAATGGTTTCCAACTGAGAGGAGGTTTGGATGGGATATGGGAAGAAATTCTTCCCTGGGAGGGTGTGGAGGTGCTGGGATGGGATTCCCAGAGAAGTTGTGGCTGCCTCATCCCTGGAAGTGCCCAAGGCCAGGTTGGAGTAACCTGGGCTAGTGGAAGGTGTCCCTGCCCGTGGCAAGGATGGCACTGGATTGGCACTTGGAAGTCCATTCCAAACCAACCCATTTTATGTTTCCACTATAGTTTAATTCCCAGACCCATTTTACCCCCACAATAACTCATTGTCAAGGCTGTCCCAAAAGCAAAGCTCAGCTAAAACACCCAAACCCAGCGACCAAGGCAGAACCTGTCACATCCCATTTCGTGTGGATCTCAAAGCAGAATGAAAGGGAATCCTTCTCTCAACAAGTGCATTTGAAATGTGGATTATTGGCCTGAAAAGCACAGCCACTGCAAGATCCATTATCTCTGACTTGGCTCAAACCAAACCCCCCCCTCCACCCATCACAAAGACACGAGAACCACTTCCAAATGCCATGTCCCACTTCCCCCCAGCCTGCCCTCACACCATCTGATAGGAGAGGGCTGGCTTTGCTTCCTGGGAACAAAGACTCACATTCAGAGCTGTTGCAACAACCAGACTCCATCTCATTCCATCTTTCAACCAA